CACTTGAGACTAGGTCACTTGAACTTTGGTGGCTTAAAGGCTTTAGCGAGTGAAGAGATGGTGAATGGGTTGCCCAAAATTAATCACCCCAACCAACTCTGTGAAGGATGTCTTTTTGGCAAGCAAGCTAAAAAAAGTTTTCCAAAGGAGGCCATTTTTAGAGCATCCAAGCCACTCCAACTGGTTCATGCGGATGTGTGCGGACCAATCAAACCATCATCATACGGTAAAGCTAATTATTTCTTGCTCTTCATTGATGATTTTTCTCGCAAGACTTGGGTTTTCTTTTTGAAGGCAAAAAGTGAAGTTTTTGGAGCATTCCAAAAATTCAAAGCTCTTGTTAAGAAGGAGAGTGGTTACTCTATCAAAGGCTTAAGGACTGATCGAGGAGGAGAATTCACTTCAAAGGAATTTCAAAATTTCTGTGAAAATAATGGAATTCGTCATTTCCTCACTGTTCTGAGGTCTCCACAACAGAATGGCGTCGTGGAGCGGAAGAATAGAACCATTCTTAACATGGTTCAAAGCATGCTTAGGAGCAAGAATATGCCCAAGGAATTCTAGGCAGAAGCAGTGGCATGTGCTGTGTATTTGTCTAATCTTTCTCCCTCAAAAAGTATTCAAGGTATGACACCGCAAGAAGCCTAGAGTAGTAAGAAGCCTAATGTTTCTCACCTTCATGTTTTTGAAGTATTGCTTTTATTCATGTTCCAGATGAGAAGAGATCAAAGCTTGATGGAAAAAGTGAGAAATTTGTCTTCATTGGCTATGATTCAAGCTCCAAAGGCTACAAGTTCTACAATCCATCCAATGGGAAGATTGTAATCAGTAGAAATGCTGAGTTTGATGAAGGAAGCTCATGGGATTGGAATGTCTCTCAAAATGAAGAATATGTCATCTTTCCTTTGCAAGAAGGAGAATCCAAACAAGACACAAGGCAAGATGTTGTTACTTCACCTCACTTTCCTCATGGATCTCAATCACCTAAGGATTGTTCTTTTGAAGGGCCACTACGTACAAAAAATCTTGCTAATATTTATGAAGAAACTGAGGTGGTTGATAATCCAAGTTTCTTTTGTCTCTTTGTTGACATCGAACATTTAAATTTCGAAAAGGCAACAGTAGACAAGAAATGGAAGCATGCAATGGATGAAGAGATTAAAGCAATCCAAAAGAATGGCACATGGGAGCTGGTGACTCTTCCAAAAGGGAAAAAGGCAATTGGCATGAAGTGGGTGTACAAAGTGAAGAAAAATGCTCAAGGGAAAGTGGAGAAATATAAGGCAAGGCTTGTTGCAAAGGGTTATATCCAGGAATATGGCATTGACTATGATGAGGTGTTTGCCCCTCTTGCTTGCTTGGAAACCATTCAGTTGATTATCTCCTTGGCAGCTCAAAACAAGTGGAAAATTTATCAAATGGACGTTAAGTCCGCTTTCTTGAATGGCTATCTTGAAGAAGAAGTGTATTTTCAATAGCTATTAGGATATGTTGTCAAGGGACATGAAGAAAAAGTCTTAAAATTGAAGAAGGCGTTGTATGGCTTGAAGCAAGCGCCAAGGGCATGGTATTGCCGCATTGACAAATATTTCCAAGACCATGGCTTCACCAAATG